GCAGATTCTTGCAAAGAGGGTATGTGGCTCCAAAAAATTCTCACAGAACTGTGTATATGGACCAAATTGGCACTTCCACTTCATGTTGACAACAAAGGCACAGAGGCTTTGGCAAATAATTCAGAACACCCCTCAAGGACAAAACACATTGATGCCAGGTATAATTTTGTCTGTGACTGTGTTACAGACTCTATTTTCAAAATTGTACATGTCTCCACGCACAACATGTTGGCCGATATGCCCACCAAACCACTTCCTGGGGTTTTGCTTGAGAAACACCTTCTTATTTAACTTTCTTTCTTTTTCTTCTTGTTAAAACTCTGTCATCAGCAAGGGGGGGTGTTGAGCTATTCATGTCACAGGTTTCATTACATTTTCATAGCTACAGTTTTATTTGTGCTTCTTCCTCTTTTTCATTTCTCACAAGTCACAATCTGTGACATGTTTCTTGTTTTCATTTTGATCTTATACTGGAGGCAACGGGGCTGGGAAGGATTCCTCTTTCCTCATCTTTTCCCACTCTGTTGGCTGAAGGTCAGTTTCTTTTTCTCTTTCTTTCTCTTTCTCTTTGTTCTCTTTCATGTGTTGAAATGATCATCATCCTTTCCCACTCCGTTGGCTCCACTTCATCTCAAAATAAACCTCTTCATACCCTTACTCACATCAATCGGCAGCTTCATCTCAAACTTATCCCTATCACTATATATAAAATTGCCAAGCTAAGCTTGGTGGTCTTGTTATTCTGATAGTATAGAAGGGCAGAGCTTGCAACTCCAACATACCCTTTTCCATTCAGCAAAAGGGTTTTCATAACCACTCTTGAGTCTTACAATGTAGATTTCACAGAACCAATCACTTAGCTTACCTAATCACCCCAATGACTCAAACTAATTCATAGCACTCCAAATCCCTGGCTCCTAGCTTGGTATAGAACACTAACCAACTTCTTTATTGAGCTAGGTAAGACTCTTCCTTCTATTGTATTCTCCTTTTTTCTTTGATCTCTTCTTCTTGTTCTTCTCCATTTCCATTTATCTGATACATATTGTATTTGGGTAGAGTCTAGAGAACACTAATCAACTTCTTTATTTAGCTAGCTCCTTTATTGAAATTCATACAGATACTTAGGTTCTAGGACTGTTCCCTCCAGGCTAATTTTGTGTTACCATTGGAATTATTGAAAGTTCTAGTGAAGAGTTGACAAGACTCTTACAATTAATGAGATGGGGGATAGAGCTTCACTATTGCCTTTTTTTGGTACTGATAACCTTGTTTGAGGTAGTTACCCCACCTGATGAGTCAACTCCAGATCAGATGTATCCCCTTGTCTTGGATTGTTTGTTACCATTCATGAATCACCCCTTCCTCAATTGGATCTTGTTTAAATCAAAAATTGAAAAAACAGCACTGTTACTTCACATGCGTTTATTGGAGGTTGAAACATTGCAGATGAACTGGAACAACAAGATAATTTAAGTATTTGGAAAGACAACTTCACAAGTTAGTGACATGGGGCTTCCAGATGATTGGAAACTACAAGTGGAACAAATCCAGTATTCAATTGATAATGGATACTCAATGGGGATTCCTGGTGATATGGGTGTGATTGAATTGTGAGGTGGCCATCCCCATACCCTACCTCCACCTCTTCAAGATGACACAGATGAAGAGACAGATGATGAAGAAGAGTATCTAGCTGAAATTGAACATTTTCTTTCCAAAAACATGCTGGCAGACCGGGAGCAAGAGACAGGAGCTAATGGATAGCCATTTATTCCATTCTCATGTTTCAGATTCATTCAGAACTCCAGATTGGATCATTTCGTTTTTTATAAATTTTTGTCTTGATATCTTGCACTGTATGGGGATGAATTATATCTTGAATGATGTGAAAAACCCACCTCTTTTAAAACATGTTTTTTCTTCATCTTCCCCTTTTGGGGAACCATTGGTGAAGAAAAATATTTTTGGATAATTGACTGGTTTCTAATGGTGGATTTCTTATGTTTGATACCCCCTAATTCATTAGATGGTTAATGTTATTCTCTGATTCATTAGAGTAATGTGTTTAACATATGAATCAAACTTCATAAATTGATTCACTTATTACACCAGGTTTATTACTGGTTCATTGTGTCATATAGAAATCAAGTGTGCTTACTGACACCTAGTACCTTTGTAGTCAACCAAATTAAATGAGAATTTTGAAAGCAAGGACTGCTGTTTCATGAAATTACAAAAAATCATCACTCCATTCTTTGAAACTAGAGATCAATCGTTTGGACCTGTTGGGGGGTACCTGCCACACTTCAAAACACTCCCTCCACACCCTGAGACACCACTGACGCTTCCGGAGGGTTCAGTAATGATGAAGGTTTAGTACTGGGCCCCCCACTTGTATTTATGGTGGCTGTTGATGTGGAGGGCTTGATCTGAAGTGTGGCAGGTACCCCCCAACAGGTCCGAACGAACGATCTCTATTTGAAACTACACACTTAAAGTTTTCAAAGCATGGATTGTTGTTTTATAATCTAATACTTAATCAATCCATGCGCCAAAACTACAGACTTAACTTGATTCACTTCAAAGGTATACTGGTTCATAATTGGGAGTGAAACAAGTTAAGTGTGTATTTTCAAAGCATGAATTGATGATCCATAAGATTTATGAAACAACAATCCCCCTCCCAAAGTCATACTGGTTCATTATAATTGAGTAAACTTGACTTCTCTATAAGCCAGTATAACATTTGAGTGAAACACGTTGGGTGTAGTTTTATGATTTATCACCACAGCAAGCCAAAGTTAATTGTTTAGTTTCTTACTTTTTTATAACCACAGCAGGTCAAAGTGTGTTTTCAAGAATGAGAACCACCCCCCAAAAACCATGTTAGCAAAAAGTGTCTGTAGCCTACACTGAATGCAAATGGCAGCCCACTCCTCTTCAGCTTGTGATTTCAAGTCTGTCACATAGAAGATACCCCTCCCAGGAGAGAAATACAAAGTAGGGTAAAGATGGCCTTGCGGTACCCGTTGGGCGGTACCCGGGACCCGTTGGCGGGTACCGCCTTCACTCCTCCGGTACCCGCCAAGTGGTGCCGGGTGCGGTACTCGGTGCCTGCTTTTGGGCAAAAAAGCAGGCGGTACCCTGGTACCTTCAAGGGTACCCGCCCCCAAACCCCCTCCTCGGTGGCTCGACCGAGACTAACTGGTCTCGTCCAGGTTGCTGGAGAGGACCCCTCCTCGGCAACCTGATCAAGACCAATCAGGTCGCCGGTAAGGGCCCTCCTTGGCGACCTGATTGGTCTCAACCAGGTTGCCTGGAAGAAGCTCCGGTATCCAGGCGGTACCCGCCAGGAGTACCGCCGGTACCCGTCATACTTGAGCGGGTGCGGTACCCGGTGTCCGTTTTGGCCAAAAAAAGCAGTCGGTACCTGGGTATCAACGGGTACCCGGGTCCCATGGGGCCATCTTTAAAGTAGGGGGTATCAAATATAGGAAATCCACCATGATCAGAAACCAGTCACTTTTCCAAAAAAAAAAATTGCATAAATGGGCCCCAAAATGGTTTAAATGGATAACCAACATGTTTAAAAAAAGGTGTATTTTTTCAAACCAGTCAATTAAATAATGGTGGATTTGGTTATATTTGATACCCCCTAGTGTCAAGACTGTGATTTATGGTCTATACCATCTAAGATACCCCTCCCAGGAGAGACATGCAAAGTTGCAAGTCTGGGTTTTCTGGTCCTTAACATTCAAGTTACCCTCTCAGGAGGGAAATTTAAATATCTTATGTCCAAATGATAATTTTTCTTGTGAGAATTTAACTCACAACCTCACCAATACTGAGATGCCAACATGGGTGTTGCCTTTACCAATTAGCACTACATGAAAATGAGCAATGTTTGCTGTGCAATGTCTACATGACGTTTGACAAATTTCAGTCCAGTCCCACCATTTGCTTGATGTTTTCACGTCAAACATCATATCAACCATTTGTATACAGTGTAGGCTACAGATACTTTTTGCTAAGGTGGATTTTAGGTTGTGGTTCTAATTTTTGACACAGCACTTTGACCTTCTGTGGTGATAAAAAAACATGAAGCCACTCAATTAACTTTGACATGCTGTGGTGATAAATCATAAAACTACACCCACCTTGTTTCACTTGAAAGTTACACTGGCTTATAGAGAAATCAAGTGTACTCAATTATAATGACCCAGTATGACTTTGGGAGGGGATTATTGTTTCATAATCTTATGGATCATCAATTAATGCTTTGAAAATACACACCTAACTTGTTTCACTCCCAAGTTATACTGGTTCATGGAGAAATCTACACTCCATTGCAATGGCCCAATATAAATTTGGAGTGAGCCAACTTGAATGAGGATTTTATAAGCATGGATTGGTGTTTCATAACCTTATGAATCATCAATTCATGCTTTGAAACTACACACTTAACTCTCTTCACTCCAAAGTTATACATGGAGAAATCAAGTGTAATCAATTAGAATGACCCAGTGTAACTTTGGAGTGAGCCAAGTGAAATGTAAAAATGGATTGATGATTTATAATAGGGGGTATCCAATATAACCAAATCCACTGTCATTAAATTGACTGGTTTGACAAAGGGAACTCCCCAGATGGGCCCACCACAGCCCCCACTGCAGCCAAGACTTTTTCAAGTTTGGTTTGGCCCCCATGATGTCAACCATTAAATTTAATTCATGTGTGATGACTGCATAATTATGGTCCGCAGTCAATGTACCAGAGGCTCCTGAACTCTAACTTGACCAAGTCCACTTCTGAATCTGGAGGGACTTGGACTCTGAAGGAAGTTTCATTGGAGCCCTGTACGATTGGAGTCCCCACCAGGTATACCCATAGGTTTTAGGAGGTTGCAGTGTAGGGCTGACTAACTAAATGATGTCACCAATCCTAGAGAATTGTTGTCTATAAAAGCCACCAGAGGCCTTGGTTTATATTTTCCTCATCATCACAATTCCCACAATCGCATTCACAGTCACAGTCACAGTCACACTCTTTTATCTCTTTAGTGATTCTTGGTCTATTTCTGTATCCCTTTATTCCTGTTGAGATAAAGTAGAATAGTGACCAAATGGCTTTCAAACTCACATGTGGTCTTATCATGGCTTTGTTGTCATCAGTAACCCGCTCAACGGTCCCAGGAGTGGTGCCAGTAGGAGGGGGGATCTTTGAAACTGGAAATGCTGAAATGAGTCGGGATGTGCTGTATCCCTGTCAGGGCGATGCCTACACATGGAATAGTGTAATTGGTGCCATTGTCCAAGGGTCAGTTGAATCTTCCAAACAAATCAACCCTGAACATCTTACATTTATGATTTTGATGAATATGATGAATATTGTTACAGGGGAGGGAGTCTCATTAAAAGAAGCCCTGAAGGAGAGGTAAGCAAGAAGACTTAAAATCTTCCTACTTATTGCAAACTCTTTGTTGATTGAAGTAATCTAATGTTTTGTGGATCTTCAATTTATGAACTGCAGAAAGCCATGCAGGCCGCTCGTGATAAGGCTCCGGGACCTGAGAAATCAAATGAATACATCAAGAAGAAGCTTCAATGGCAATCTGAGCTCCCAGCTGAGAGTGAGGCCGGGAATTTCTGGGAGGAGAAAGTCTACATGAACAGAGGGAGGGTTGCCTTGATCAAGAACGGTCAGTCTTTATAATTTTTTTATTACCACTTAAAAATGTTTATTTATTGTATCACATGGCTTGATATGATTGGACAGAGTATCCCTATGGATTGCCACCGCCAGTGGACCATTGGATGTTGTGGATACGAACATGTCCCTTTACAGAGGTGGCATTTGAGCCCTTGTCCCATGAAACCTTACCAAACCCAGACTTTTTGAGGTCAATAAGGAGGAAAGCCCTGTTGAGATACCTCAACTACTATGACTTTTACGGATACTCTGGAATTTCTGAAGATGTAATCAATAGATTCCGACTTTCTGGATTCTATCATCCCACTGAAGATACGGTGTGGAAGGACCCCGAGTCAAGTGAGGTGGTCACACGCCTGGAGGGCATTGAGGCCATGCGCTGGCTTGGAAGGCATGTCCTCAAAGTGATCCACGTTAAATTCAGCCCGGAAAAGTATGAAATCCTTTTCAATAGGTCTACAGATCGTTGGAAGTATGTCTATTTCCCTTTTCTGCTGAATTCATACTAATGTGTTGATGGCTAAGACCTACGGATCCCTGGAATTTTTACTTGCAGAAGCGTTGTTGATCCTGACCATTTCCAGTACGTGAAAATAAAGATTGATTGATTGCTTTGCAGTTAAATTTCTTGGCTGACATTATTCTCTGCCAATCCTTTTGTGATTCACGTGATAGTGTAATTGTCAAGCCCAAATCCACTTCATGATATGTTCATAGAAAAAGGTTATACTCTTCTATGGTGGATCCAAAGTCCAATTTTCTTTTTCTTTAGAAATTACAAAAACTATAACAAAAAGCCAACAAAAAATGAAGCAATATCTGAAGAGAACATATGAGTAAAACTCTGTTTGTTTCTCTTGACTTAATACCATTCACCAAGTAGCTTCTACATTATTTATAAAATTAGATTTGTAAATAGATGAAGAAATCCTGTATGGGCCTAAGTCATTCAATCTTGTTTTCTACTCACAAAGATTTGTGGTTCAAATCTTAGGCAATGATCTTATATTTTTTCATTCAAATTTATTTTGATATCTTTCAATAATTTGATGCCTTGGTGGAATGGAGTTTGAGGGGAGAGTCCTACACAAAAAAGGTCATAAGGTATCTGCCAAACTGTAAAGAAGGCTTCTCAAAGTATTTGGTGAAGCCATCATTGGGCCTACTGGGATTTATTGGTAGGGAAAACTGTTTTAAAAAATCCTCAAATAGACTGTAACCCAGCCTGTCCCAGGCTGCAGAATTTGTGTGGTACAGTCTGCCTCATCATTGCCTCAGACCTGGACATTCTGGAATTCATGTTTGAATTGGGTGTGGTAAATAAATAATCCCCAGACCTTGCTGAGTTTAAAGCAGGATTGTCATCCAGATTGTGCAGGAGCACTGAAAGAGAGGGCTTAAACCCAAAATTCAAGTTTTCCTTGAGGGCAAATCTTAATTTTGCTCTTTGGACAATGCTTCTTGCAAAACTTTCCCCAACACATGGTGGAGGGAATATCTCCTGAATTCCCTTGCTTTCTGCCGCTTCATATATATACTGAGAAGCCTGCCTGAACTGTCAAGCAGATTTCCAGCCTGCTGCCAGCTGGCTCTTCCTCACCAGAAGTAGTTACTTGGCCACTACTTCAATTGAGACTCAGAGCTCAGAAAATGAATAAATAGGGGGTTGAATAAATGACTCCCAAGGATTTTTCAACAACTCCCAAATACAGTTGACAGACGTCACTTGGGAGTCACTCCTCCAAATGGATAGCTGACTTTGAGAGTCAGCCATCCATTGATATTATTAATTTTTTATTTTTTGGGAGTTGGCTCCCCAAAACACCATTTATGCTTGTTGTATTTGGGAGTTGCTCCCACATGACTGGAAGGATTTCCTTCCAGTCAATGAGGAACAACAACCTCATCTACCAGAAGGAATTCCTTCCAGTCAATAAATTTATTATGCCTCTTCTGGTCAATCTGGTAAATGAAGATGTTATAAATCATTGACCGGAAGGAAATACTTCACTGAACAGAAGGATTTGGGTTAGGGATCTACCAATAGTGGGTAAAATGGCTGATACAGTGTGTCAGACACTGAGACACTAGCCCAGGTGTCTACAATAGAATGTAACCCCCTTGGTTTACATAATAAATGTTATCATATGTAATCTTTAAGTTAATAAGTATACAAATATTATTCTTTTTTTATATGTATTATTTATGTTAATAAATATTTTGTAAATTAATAAAGAGTTACCTCTTTATTAATTTACCTATTTCATGAAAGGTATAATCAAGTTGAAAAGGATAATGATCTCTTATGATTATCAAAGAGATTATTATCCTGTGTATCTCTCTTGTAAATACTAGAAGTCCAGTTTATCTCTCTTGTGTGTATCTTAAATAAGAGAGATTTTCCTCACATGTACTTTAAACTTCATAGAATATCTTGACATTTCTCCCCAAAGAAATAATGTAATACTATCAACAGTGGGCCGCTACGCTACACTATGCTATTTGACCACTAACTGTTAGTGTAGTGGCCTTTTTATTTCCTGGAAATTCTGTAGTGTTAGCTGACGCTAAACCCCACTACGCTAACTGTTAGTGTAGTGTAAATTTTTCTCTCAAATTTTTTGTTAGTGTTAGCTTCAAATAATCTCAGCTAAACTAACAGTTAGTGTAACTTTTTTTGCACTAACAAAATTTTGACTGTCAGATAGTGTAACTGATTTAAAGCTAACATTTAGTGTAACTTTTACCAAATTAAGCTACGCTACACTACACTACATGCCTAGTTACGCTACGCTACAGTAGAAGTTACACTACACATGTAGTGTAGTGTAAATCATCAATTAGAGAAATTGACATGTCAAGTGAGAATTTATGCTCTTGAACCCTCTTCCTCTGCTTTCTGTTTTCAATGGACAAGTTGTGTGAACTGTCCCTATAACTGATACGGCCAAGGTCCGTAGTGATTATTTTCAATGTCCTATGATCACACATAATCCCGCAGAAAATGAACAGCATAAGATGTAGAGACAAACAAACGGAGGATGTTCCTGGTGAGATTTGCTACAGACCCTTGTGGTTGTAAGGTTAGTTGGGTGGTAGTTGCCATGGTTCATGCCAACAGCTCCACCACACTCTGGTGATACATCATGGTTACACCTCTACCCCCCCCCCCCCCCCTCCCCCCTTGCTACATGATGTGAAAGTGGAAATTGAACAAGTGTGGGAATGGAACCCAGTAAAGTATGATCTGAGGGGGAATTGAACCCATAATCTCAAGGTAGTCTGACAGGGGAATGTGGTCTTACAAGTAAGTGTTAAAAATTGGCAGGGGGCTAAAATTGAGTGGCCACCATTACTAAATGAAAAAATCATGATCAATTACGGGGATCTGGATGTAGGCCCCCCAATCAGGCACTGTCTTCAGGGTAGACTAATGCTAGTCATGTGGTCATGTAACTTTTAATCAGTTACGCTAACAGTTAGTGTAACTTTTTCACCAGTTACACTAACAGTTAGTGTAACTGAGGGTACCACTACGCTAACTGTTAGTGTAACTTTGCAAAAAGTTACACTAACATGTAGTGTAGTGGGATCACCCACTTACACCGCTAAAATTTCACTAACAGGATTTTGGGTAGTGTTAGTTGTGCCTTTTTAAAGGTAGCTTACACTACGCTAAAGTTTTTTTTTTTTTCAAAAATCCTGTAGTGTTAGTGGGCCAAAAATCCCCGCTAACGGTAACTTTTGTGTAGCTTAGCTTAAAAAGCTAACACTACGCTGCACTAACACTACGGTTAGTGTAACTGGCCCACTGTTGATACTATGGGGACTGTACCGGTCCCACAAGCAGTCTGACCACTGTTCTGTAATACTTAAGGAAGTGAGTCTTTCGCTAAGATTCCTCCCCCATAGATTACCATACAAACCTGTTAGCCTTACCTATTTTACAAAAGTACAATAGGTGAGTGGGGTTTATTAATCTAATCTACAATTATATTACATATTACAATTATTCTTTTTAGTTTGTACTAGTCCGTTACAGTTTACCTTAGTAACTAGACTAGTACCACTCCTTTCTCTTTGCAAGAGCCTGGCGCAGCAACACTATTCCGCTGTTGTCCCTTATAATTATAAGAGCAACCTCATCAGTGCGGGTGTAAGTTGAGGATTAGCGGATTAGCTTAATCCTGGATTACGGCTACTCTGGTTTGTCAACCGCAGTGGTGTGGTGTAAACCTGGGAGTAGCCAGGGGTTGCATGTGTGTTTTGTATGCAAATGGCCCTTAATCCCAGGATTAGTGAGGAGTAACTTTACTCCTACTCCGGAGTAGATTTAAGTCTGATTACATTGAAACCAATGTGGTTGAGCAACGATGAAACTGATGTGATGCATGCATAGGTATCGCATTGTATCAGGCCTTTATCGCATCGCATTGCGAGAGCGATGCGGGGCCCCGCATCGCATCGCTTGCATCGGATTCTTCGATACAGTGTATCAGTATTGCATCGGCAAAGCAATGCAATGCGATGCACTATAATTTGGTGGCATCGGTTTGCATCGCTTTCCAATACAATGCTTATGCTATGCATTGCTTTTTCGATGCGATGCCGATGCAATGCATCACTTTTTCGATGCAATACCGATACATGGCTATTTATCGCATTGTTTCACCGTTGGGTTGAGGACTCGGATTACTTACGCTAATCCACTCTTAATCCTTGTCCAATGTGGTTGCTCTAAGGAGCAGCCCTTCTAATACTCTAGTATAAGGAAGAGGCTATTTCCACTATGTTGGTTATCCAACTATAGTGCGACCCATTTCCACTATGTTGTGTAAACAACAATAGTGTGACCCACTTCATCCATCAACCCCTAGTCACATAAGAGACGAGAGTTGACACAGTGAGTTGAAGATCAACCAATAGTGGGCTGCTACCCTATGCTGCTTTTTGCCCAAAAAGTGTTAGTTTTGTGGCCGTTTTTCCCATGCAAATTGTGTAGTGTTAGAGGGTTCTTGCTGCACTATGGGCTGCTACAAGGCCAAAATGTTGCTCACTCAAATTACAATTTTTTCAAAGTGTTTTTACAAAATTGCGCCTTGGGGTTTGGATGTTGGGGTGACAACCCCCACTGTGCTCAAAGTTCTCTGTAAATAGGAAATGAAATCAAGTGGAAACTACAATCAAGTTAAAAAACTGAGTGCAGTTAAGTCAAAGACCAGTGAGTAAATTAGTATTAATCCATTGTCATTAGACCTCTGCTTTGCTGGTGAAATATATACCCCTAATGGTAGAATGGAACACCTGAGGTGTCCCTTACCAGGCCTTTCCCCACCACACCACTAGCTGTCTAGTAATTACTATAGAACTATCCAGCAGGATACTTTCTCCCTACCTAAGATTATTTTGCAGTCAATACCTATTTGATTGGATTGCTTTTTTCAGATGTCTAGACATCTTACCATTAATTTTTTTTGCTGTAACTATTAACTCTTCACACAATACTTAGCACATCACTACTATCTAGTCCCCCTGCAGTATTTAAACTGCCTGTTATTCAAAACACCCAAACCCAGAGCTTTCTTGATAGGGGTGGCTCCAGCTTGAGGAAGACAGGATATGCCTTATTGAGCAATCTAAACAGCAACAGATTTCCAAAACACTCACTTCTTCTCATCTGTATCTTCTTATATTCCATCAGAGCACTATGGTCTATAATGCAAATGGAATAAACTCTGATAATCTGGGGTCTAGCCAGGAAATTAATCATGATGGATGGCTTTCTTTTCTTAACTTGACTTTTGGCCGCAAATCATTATTTGTGATTTGGCTAAGTTTGGCTGGGATTTGGACCGTGTGATATGAAACAATATAAGGTTTTTGCACAAACTCCTGCCAAACCTCAACTCAAAATTACAAATCATGGACGGCCAAACGGGGCCTAAGATTTTATGAGAAATAGCTCCTTAAATTCCTCCCTTACCCATGACATTACTTGTACAATTGTTGAGAAATTAGAAGTAGAAGTTTCCTACTCATACTATTAGCACTGAGTAATTGGTACCTTACAGTACGTTGTCGAACTATCCTTGGGGTGAATGTAAGTTGAACGGATGTAGCGGTACGAAAGACCGAAAGCAGCTTATGAACATATATTTCGTACAGTAGAACATGAATTTTGCGCACACTTTTCCTCTCGTGCCAGAGGTGACCGCTCAGGGACAAGTCGCTGGGTGACCTCCTCGGAGGGACTTGCGATAAGTTCGGAGAACCACAGGTTGGTCTAGCCATGTGGCTAGTGTGGCTGAGTTGGGTTCAAACCAGCTGTGATTACGGCTATGTATTATCAAGCATCGATGCATCACAATCATCCGGGACCAAAAAGGCGACTCGGTCCTCAGCTGGCCGATGAGCTCTGCATGTCCCCCTAAATATTTGCTTCGCGTCCACAGCACTCCCCACCCCATGTTTAAAACCGGGAGTATTTGTGTAGATCTTGAAGCGCGCTAAGTGCTCTGCAGCTCGAGTCATCAGTCAACCCGTATCTCCCATCATTGCAACGCTGCTGAGGTCCTAGAAAGCAAGTGGCAGAATATACCTTCACAGGATTTGGCGTGCCTCACTAGGAATCGGACTATTATCACTGCTTGTTGGTTAGTTTTGAGCCTCACAACGACTTATGATCGAGACTTGTTCACTTAATGCCCCATACATCTTAGGTACATCATGGCCATCGAGAAACTTCCAAGCATGCTTTGCCTCGACGAATATCCGCTGATGAAGACCTACAGGAACCGTAGGTTGCCTGTAACCAGTTGAGCCCGTTTTTGTTGCAACTCCCTCCTTCCCCAATGGATACACTTGTTAACACTGACCGTCTTTCTGATCCGATTGCCAGTCCTTCTTGCCTCTGTGAGCTTCAGAAACTATCACTGGTCTTTGATATATGCGTTGTAACTTTTACCCATCTCGTGTGTCACAGATACTGGTTTTTAGCGGCTTAATCATTTTCAATGTTATCACCCAGTGAGTGTCCTTTCCGTTCTCCTTATTCCGTTGTACTAAGTTACATCTTCACATTTCTTCCTTGCAAAAAGAGGAAAGTCCGACAAGTACCGGTGAGTTGATCAAGCTTCTTTTCAAAGCTCATTGCTGGTACCCGGAAGGGGATCCATTCAGAAAACAAAAGAGCCTGACATAAATGACGCGTTTGCTGTTGGTTTGATAAGAACATTCATATCATTAAAGTTTCTGAACGAGCAATCGCGATTACACGGCAAGAGTACATCAGGAGTCATCTACCGCTGCGAGGCAGCCACGGTGAGAATGGGCGACAATGTCTTCATGGTTCTTCAGAAGGAGCCATCGGAAGAAGCCTCCTTTGAAGCCCTGACGAGCCAGGATTCACCAGGCGCGTTCCAATGGACTGTCTACGAAATCGTGATAGCTGATCAGGCTGGAGTTGGCAAGGGCACTGAATTTCGTTATGATGGCCAGAAATTATACTGCACCGTAAGTATTCTGAGAAGATCGAGCCCGTACCGGTTGTTTTATCCGGTAATTCGGTCGCTAAAAGAAACCTGTTTGACTACTCTAGATTGCATACGTCAAAACAATTTATCAATTCCTCCACCATAACTACATTTATAGGTAAACATCCAATCAAAACTTGCCTTTGCTTGGATGTCGAGATTTTCTTTTGCTGATTCATGAGTTCGCGCAGCATTTGCGGTAAATGTACCTATGTCGATGGGGCAACACAGAGGGAAATCAGAATGACACTGTGCACTTCATATGACCATTCTACTGCCAAGTAAGGTTTTCCTCTTGAGACTCCTAGGACTTGATCTTTCAAATGCAAAAAAATGGAATTTATTTTTGGTGGAATTTATCGGGATTGTTAATCTAGTATGCCCACGGCTGCTTGGAAAGGCCAAGACAAGATTCGGCACTATGTCTTGTGAGCAATTTTTGTTTAAAGCAGTCTTCAATAGTATCAACAAGGACGCTGATCGGGTTTGAAATGGAGTCTGAATATAGTGAGCTGCTCGAGAAAATGTACCCCTCATTGTCGATCCCACCTGGCACTATGCCGTTATCTGTCTATCCACCGGACTACAGTGAGGCCCAGGAAAACTTATACAGGAACCAGGAGATCAGACGGCGGGATGTGTCACAACTGACGATCTGGCTTGGCGATGTCACCTTTATCCCGGCAGCTAACTTGAGCGACGAAACTACTAAGCTAAGCCCGGATGTGATTGAGCCGCCTCGAGGGAGGATTCTTCTTGGGAATATGACTGAGCCGGGGAGTTACTTTGAGGCCTTCAAGAAAACTGACGAGATCTCCTCAGGCTTTCAGATCTCAGTCATGGGTATCGGGGAGGTCCGGCCGTTCCGCTCGCACGACTACAATCTCACCAGCATCCCGCTGGTCCTGGCCCAGATGTTCAACTACTCCTACTCGATCAATGGGCTGATGATGAATCTAGCCGCCGCTGATCTCAATCATAAGGAGATAGGGACTCATTACTTGTGCAATGCCACTCGAAGGGAATGGCTGCCCTTCGAGAAAGTCTTCTCGACCACTGCGGGCAACTCGTTGGGAGCATTTGGGATCTGCTTTTCTATGATGGTTGCGGTGAGTCCCCAAAGTTCAAAATTTCTCTCTGGATTGTTTGGTTCAACTCTCATGATACTCTTCACATTGAAATCTCATTCAATAACTTCCTCTTTTTTGTAGATAGCACGTCGATTAGATAATCTTCCAAAAGCACGGCAGGGAGCCACTCGTCGATCAGACAGTTCGGAAACACTTGACTTGGAAGAAGGTGAAGATCATCCACTGAAAAAAGCTTCCGAATAAAAATATCTATTGTTTCCTGGTCAGACTGAGTTTGAATAAATCACAGTTACCACCAGTAAATTTGGCTTGATGAGTATGCGAGAAACAGACTCAAAAAAAACTTTCGTTCATCCCTGCATTGTTGTGGGGGACAAAAAAGAATCCAAATCCATTTCTCTCAACTTCAGATCTCGTAGCTCCATTTGCCCTCATATTAAAGGTGGATTAACAAAAGGGATAAGGGGAGATGAGACCAAGCGAAGATTTGGTTAATCGAGACGCATTGTTTGGAAAACACATGACTGATCCCAGCATGTTTGGGGCCAGGGGACGGCAAACGTCATCAGCCCTCTTTTGTCACTCGCACATTCTATTCACCGGAGTAGATTAGCATCAATTATGAATCTATTTGTTAGTTTTGCTAGTGCTAGAATGATCTTGGTAGCAAAAAACAAAAAACGGCACACAAGAAAAAAGAAATAGGAGGGGCGACAAGATATCATACTAAAATGGAGGGTTAAGGTTTCTAAGATGAAATGACCAAGAAGAAAGCTATGGGTAAGTAGGTGGATATCTTGGTATCTGAGTCGCAATTTTAGCCGCAATCAGCTAACAGATCATCTGGGAAAGACAAGTCTCAATGCTTCATGTAAACTTGATCTGGAAAGTATGAATTGAATCAAGGCCAGTCAGTTTATAAGTCAAGTCATGAATGAGAAGTGAAAACGCACCGGCGGTTACTCCCTTGCCTTGAGCCTCACGTTGAGCGCCCCATTTTCGCAATCGGATCGATTCACTAGACGATTTTGAAAGTAAAAAAAAAAGAAATGCATGAGCTTGGGGTGGTGATTGAACAAGAAGAAGAATGTGATTGAGCAGCTGACATTTTGATGAAGCCGCTGGTATCTGTGGGTTCGAAACCACCCATTTCATCCATGCTGCTTTCCCTAGCGTCGTATAAGCCTTCGTTGGAAGCACGGCCATCGACGATAACGTTACCCTTGTAGAGTGATAGTCGGACACGACCGTTAACGTTTTTCTGACTAGCCTCGAGTGCGCTTTGGACGAACTCCCGCTCGGGGCTGAACCAATATCCGTTGTAGAGGATCTTGCTTAGCTCAGCGGTCACGAATGAGTCTCGCAACGCTCGGACTTTGCCGTCCAAAGTTAGCCCTTCGAGGTCCATGTGCGCCCGACGAAGGATCGTACCAGCGGGGGTCTCGTAACAGCCACGACTCTTGACACCAATGAATCTGTTTTCCACGATGTCAATACGACCGATCCCATGGGCTCGAGCGAGCGAATTGAGTGCGAGGAAGATGTCCAGTACGTCGGTGGCTTTGCTCAACACCTCACGTTGCTCGGTCGAGGGTTTGTAGACCACTAGTTCACTGGTCACTCCCCGGGTGAAGGTCAGGTCGATGCATTGGGGGCCGTCAGCGCTGGCTTCCAGCAGATCCTTCGTCAGTTTCCACATGTCCTTTGGCGGGGTTACATCGGGCTCCTCGAGGATGCCAGCCTCGTATGAGATGTGATGCAAGTTTTCGTCAGTCGACCAGGGCTTAGCGGCTGTTTGGACGACTGGAATACCCTTCTCGGCGGCGTATTTCAGTAGATCAGACCGACCGGCAAATCGGTTGTAAAACTCCGGGAGCCTCCAGGGTGCGATGACCTTGATTGAAGGAACGAGAGCATAAAATGCTAGTTCAAATCGCACTTGGTCGTTCCCCTTTCCAGTGCATCCATGTGAAACAAATCTGATTCGGAGATGAAATATTGCAATATATTCAATTGTTGGAAATTTCCGTCGACAAAAAGAATACACTTACGCGCATTGTTCGGTCGTGGCAGCTTCAATCATCCCTCGGGCAATGACAGGCCTTGCAAGAGAGGTTCCGAGCAGATAGACACCTTCATAGATGCAATTGGCTTGAACGGCTGGAGTGATGAGCTCGGTGACAAACTCTCTTTTGAGATCCTAAACAAACCCCAAGCAGTAGCAATTCAAGTCAGATAGATTGTTGGACCAATGATATTTCAGGAAGCCGTGATCAGATGGAGAAGTCTTACCGACCTTCAAGACAAATTTCTTGGCGCCCACTTTCAACGCCTTGGCTTCGGCTGCTTTGAAGTCTTCCTCCTGACCAACATCGGCCACTGCGTGGGACAAAAAAATTAGTAAAGCGAGTTAGATCCTGCCTCCAGAGATATAGATGGTTACTTCTGAATGCTTACTGAAAGCAACGACTTCATATCCTTGCTCGATAAGCCAAGCTAGGATGCAAGATGTATCCAAACCACCTGAGTACGCGAGTAAGACCCTTCCTTGACTGGATACCATGTTGAGTTGTGTTTGCTTTCGATTTTTCCTGATGTGTTGGATTTGGGGAGGGAGCTCTGCAGCTTCGACCAACCAACTTGTGGTTTCATACACGGGGGACACCGGGTGACTCGATGAAACATCCGAATCCGAATCCGAGACAGGTTTCGGGGGAAGCCCGAACTTAAAACGGAGCGATCATGTTTCACTGCCGTCCGCCCGGGGGATGAGGTTGGGTCGGGTCGACCCGGCTTGGGTACGTGTCGTGGCGGGGCGGCGAGACGCTGGATGGCCCATGGTGGATTGCATCAGTCCTCACCACATACATAGAATGGGTACCAATGTCAATTTGGCAGAGACTTGTGCTAAATTAGCTGCACATGTATGTGAGTGCACGCCCCCCTCAAAAAAACTAAGAAGGGAAACAAGAGGACAATTATGGCCCAACCTGCCCCAACCCAAGGCCTATGTAGTTAGGATAAGATTGAAAATTCTAGAGATATTGAACAGAAGAAAACAAAAAAAATGATGTTATTCTTGTGCTATTGATAACGAGCATTTCCATTCCTAGTGTGAAGTTGGCAAAGAGTCTTGTGTCAGTATTAGGGCCTGTACTGTTACCTGTAGGGCTGGAAAATCCAATTTCTCGGAATTTACCTTGCTCAAATTTTCATATCATCAAGCCTGACAATTGCAGCCAACAGACTGTTTTTGGCCTATGATTGAAGAATTCCAACATGATGTCTATCCACCTGTTTTGAAATTTTGTGTAGAAGACCACAGAAAAAATGACAAACATTCAAAATTGAATCCCATCATGGTACACCACAGTATGATGAATGAATCCACATGACAAACCCACTCATGATAGCCATTTAGGAGATGTTCTTTGTGTGACTAAACGGAATACATATTCCAAGATTCTAAAAATCCTTGCTATCTCTAATTTTTAATCATGCAGTCTTGAGATGTTTCTTCCCCATTGGTGAATCTGCACAAAAACCCGTGAGCAAGGTTTTTTTTTTGAAAGATTGATGAAGCCCTAGTCGATATTATAGGATGAAGTGAGACAAGAAAAATGATAGCTAGACTTGAACCTGGCTTTAGGATAGAGTCAACGCAAGGGTGTGTTGTAGTCAAGGCATACGGAGGGAGTCATGGTGGTCATGGTAAGGACGAAGGGTGATGTGTAGCTAAGGTGCATGGAGGGAGGAGAAGGATGAGCTTTGGAACCCTGAAAGGGTTGCTCGGCCGCTCCTTAAGGACGTCTAGACTGATGGACTTCAATGATTGATGGCCAACGTCTCCTTGCAGGTGTGCCGGCCGTGAGGGAGTAGAAGTGCGCATGAGATCACTACAGTTGCGCGCGGCAAATTACTGTACAAGTCGTGTCCGGATGGTCAAGACTTTTTGGGAGGATCCGGCTTCCCTTGGCGCAAGGGAAAGTCCGGCCTGAGGGCATGTGTCCGGATTGCTGGCCAAAAAAAAACAAAAAAAAAAAACTGGCTGGACCAATTTGGTCGCCACTTTGGATTTAGAATCTACACAGTCTGAAACCTCCAAAAATATCATCATCTGGAGATTTGGTCCCCCGACCCACCCCCGACCTTGCCCCATGCAGCCAAGTCGGTTTTGTACAGTAATTTGCCGCGCGCAACTGTATATGATTCTTTCCGCAAGTGGAGAGCAAGTTTCCTCTTCCGACTTCCGAGCGTTAATTCAAGCTGGCCAGACTCGCGGGTGTCGATTCAAGGCCGGCGTGCTCTAATTGTGCTTGGCATGCAAGTGGGGGCGCTTGAACGCGGGAGAGAGGCAAACTGTATTATGTAATCGGAGATAGGCCTCCCCTTGAGGGATATGCAATATACAGATACTCTGCAGGGTGTTTATTGTAGCTCCTATGTTTTGGCGGATGACATCGACACCAGCTGGGTATTTTCTCGGTGTACTTGGGCACACAACATAAAAAGGAGAAGCTTCTACAACATCCATATTAGCATTATTACCCCACCACCCACCCTCCAGCAACAACCACCTACTCATTCATACTAGTCAATCAGAGGATCTCAAAGATGGCTCAAGCTCAACAGTCCGACTCAGCCCCCTCACCAAGCTCAACCGCCAACTCACTAAGCCAACAGCTCACCCAGCAGACCCTCCTACTCAGCAGCCTCGTCGGAGCAAGCGGTGGCTATCAAAGAGTCAGCCTGCTCCAGTCGGATCGATCACTAAGCCTGCTCTTCAGTCATCCCAAGGGAAGAACTTCCTGTTTACCATTCAGAGCATCCCGCAAGAATCCTGGTCAGTTTCCACGACAGCTAGAGAGACTCATACAGTACTACCCAAGAAACAAAACAAAAAACTGATATTGGGATTTAACAAACACAGAAAACAAGATCGAAATCGAGTACAGAAACATCCTCAACTGCCAACTGAACCAACAGGAGCAAGAGAACTACGAACTCAAACTATCATATCTGAAAAGCTCGCAGGACCAGAACCTCAAACTCAAGACGCTCACACTGATTGGAAGAATCGAAAACGAGAGTGATACCAGCAGCGATACTCAAAAACTCACTCAGAATTGGGTCGAAAACTTACTGTTGAGATCTTACGAATTCAAAGGTGAGTAGTCACACCAACCTCACATACATCAATCACTTCTGAGCCTCGTTTCATCATCCAGGTGTTCCCAGATCTCGTAGAGTCCTCATCGTCATCAATCCGACCAGTGGCTCACAGAAGAGTGTCAAGATCTGGACATCGGTCGTCGAACCCATCCTGAAAGCATCAACCGCAAACTATGAAGTGATATGTTAGTTCATCCCTCCGATTCTATCAATCCCAGTTAGTATTCATACTGACCCATCAATCCAATAAATAAATCACAGTTACCACTCATGCAGGACATGCAGGAGAACTCGGAGAAAAGTTGGACCTTGATTCGGTCGATGTCGTCAGCTGTGTGTCCGGCGATGGGTTGGTGCACGAAATCTTGAACGGACTTGGTCGTCGGGAATCAGATTTCGGGACAGCCATGGAAAAATTAGCTTTGACCTCGATTCCTTGTGGTTTGTCCTGTTCATCATCTGTGGTCTTTTAATCAACACAGCACTTATGAATGTCTCATTCTATCTACCAAAAATAAGGCTCCGGAAATGCCCTTTCGACTAACCATCTCGGGCCCAAACATGCCAAAAACGTTCAACTGGCCACTTTGAACATACTCAAAGGAACCCCCATTCGACTGGACCTATGCAGCTCCACCCAGCTGTCTGACGGAGTTCCAGAAGGACAGAAAGAGCCAGAGTCGATCCGGAAATTATCCCTGCTCAGTACCTCATACGGAATCATGGCCGAGCTCGATGTGGGTACAGAACATCTCAGACGCTTAGGTCCTATCCGCTTCGTCCTAGGATATCTATGGGGTGCGATCCGAAATCGTCAGCGGAAGATCAGATTAGATGTCCAATTAGTCGAGAAGGACAAGACCGAAATCGAGCGAAACTTTCGACTTCTCCGTGAGACGATCAAGCAAGAGTCCAGTGATCCCAACCGAACCCCAACCCTTCCAGATCACCACCAACCAGCAGTCGAGGCGGATTCGAGCGGACTGCCGCGACTGAAGTACGGCGATATCCGAACGAAGATCGGCGGTTCTGAGGACAGTAACTCGACGTGTCCTTGGACAACCATCGAAACCGATATCGTCTCCTTTTATGCCGGCATCTTGCCGTTCATGTCGAGAGAACTCTTGCTCTTTCCCGCTAAAATTCCTGGCCGCGATGGCACTATCGACATCACCCTACAACATTCTGACAGCGTTTGGAAGTCCTTGGCATGCTTGATCGGAGCTGAAACCGGCGGTCTATTCAAGAACCCCAATGTATGTTTACTTATTTTTCTCCTCCGAAAAAACTCAAAGTTCAGATGATAGGAGGGGACTGATCCTTTTTTTTTTATATTGATTGTAGTGCGAGTTTATGAAAGTGAAAGCGTTCAGATTGACGTTCGACTCGGACGAGAAGAACCGATCGTATGTCGTCCTGGATGGCGAAAACCTGCCCTACCAATCGATCCAAGTGGAGATCCACGAGCGGGCCTTCCAGAGCTTGACGTTGAACTCTGAGTGTCCATACTTTGGCTCGATCGGCGTCGCCGATCAGATCTTATAATCCACCCCTCACATCTCTCTGTCTTTTCTTTTTATCGGAGGTTGTCCTATCCGACCGGACACTCACATTTTTTTTTTGGTTACTTTTGGGGCGTATGATCTTCTCGTTCATTTATTCATTCTTTCAGTTTTTTTTTTCTTCCTCTTAGATATCGAGCAATTCTGTTGTAGTGCATATTTTCCAGTTTATGGAGTTCTTTAGATTAGTACTGTCTTGGTTAGAACAAAAAGGAGCATCTTTCCCTCTTTTTTTCACGTCTTTCCTTCATTTTTTCTTTCTTCATTTTTTTTTCCTTTTTTTAAAAAAAAACAAAAACTATGCATCGTCTAAATACCTATTATCTTCTTCCCAAGATTCGCTAGCTTTTCTTTCTCAAACAACCACAAAATCTACACTCGTAGACCACAGGTCAAGAGAGATCTGAACTACTCTGTTATGTGAACCTATCGTCTCCATTCTTTCTTGTGTCTATGTAGTCTCCTCCGATCTTTCCTGCCAATGGACTGTCACCAGTTATATAATCAGTCTAAAGCATACCTTGAAACCATCACGTCAGTGGAGGACTTCCCGTCGGAATCTGCGGGTCCCCCAGAACCGATCTAGAGCCTCGAAAACCAAATTCCCCTGCGAGAATCTAGAGTTTTTGAGTCTAGATCGACTTCTGCGAGGGCTCCAGTTCGCACGGGAAGTCCTCCAGTCTTGAGTCTCGAGTTTCAAGCACCAGTTGTTGGTCTTGATAGTCTCTTGTCTTCTGTGAAAGCGTATAGTATATCAAAGTTCTGGGGTTTTTCTTCACTGGTGTGCAATGCAAGAAGAACCAAGTCCATAGTAATAATATGCACGCTCTTGTTGGAAGATGTCGCCGGGCTCCATGTATCTGTTTCTCTACACAGATCATCCATGTTTTCCAACCTATTTACAAGTAGTGCCATTTTGCCAGGTTCAAGAATTTACGTTGAACATTTACGTAGTCGATTTGGAAACGTTACGTCATCGACAACGTGGCCGAGCGGTTAAGGCGATTGACTAGAATGGCCTTCTAAGACTCCTATCGTCTACCATCAATTGGGATTTTCCCGCGTAGGTTCAAATCCTGCCGTTGTCGCAGTCTTTTTGCGGGCCCTTCCTCTCTATACATTGTGTTGCCGCATTGTTTTCTGGGCTGTGATTGCTCTGAGGGTGGTTCTTGGATTGCTTTTTCGGCGTCTATGTGTCAGCAATGTCCTCATCATCGTCGCCAAGAAACCATGGCGGGTTTGGTTTTCGCAAATGCTCATTAGAATGTTTGGATGTGTATGTACTCTGGCATCCAAAGATCGCAGGTTGAAGAATCTTTAAGTGTTTTGATATTAAGCTCAAGCGGGGGGGGCGGGAGTTCATATAGGAATGAGGGTGCCCCTGGTGCTATTTACAACGAGTGAAAAGAAGGAAGATGTATAGATTATGCATGTCATGGTTATTTAGGTATGAGGATATTGGGAAGGAATTGCTCGACAAGTTTGTGATCTCAAGAGGGAGGGAGAAAGGCAGGCGATAACAGCCACTTGAAATTTTGGGGACAGCAATCTAGCGTAAAGTAGGTTAAATATGGAGATAGCAGTAGATGATGGTAATCAATCACTCTGGCCGTCCCAGCCGCGGAATTTGCCGGTCCAGAAAGGGGGAGTGTTTGGGTGTGCGGTACAAGCGAGCCGATTGTGGGAATCCTTTTGTTCGCATTCTTCGACGATCGAAGGGGTGTTGCACTTTTTGCACACCATCGAGCTTACGTATTTGGTGGCCGTGCAAGTCCCATGGGTGTCCCCCTTATCACACGTGATAGGGTCGTTGCAGATGACGACCCTGTACGAGACTTCTCGGAGCTTGCCGTCGCAGACGCTGCAGGATGCAGCCAGCGATTGGTTGATGAGGAGCAATCCGGCCAGGAAGAGGTATCTGGGAACGTTAAAGATCATGATTGGACCCGGGCAGACTGGCTTTGTGGGGAGGATTGAAAGTGTGCGACTGGGTGCTGGGAGGATGGTGGTCTTTGAAGAAGGGTGGATGAAAACAAACAGTTTAACTCAGGTATATATGGGTAGGACCGGCAAGTGGGACCAAGGACGAGAAGAGAAAACAACGACTTACGATGCTTTATTGGAGCGGTGAAAGGATAGGTTGGAGGGGCATAAGGGGACAGACCATGTGTCTCTTTATATTCATGCCAGCTGGGTGGACGAATCGACTGGGATATGCAGCGAGAGAGAGATGTGGTTCGAGCAAGAATGAAACCCAGGAGAGCAGAGAAACAGCCCAAGAGAGCGCATACATGGTATGTATACCCAGCGGGAAACACGTTTGGATTGATGCGGGAGAGAGCCGAATGAGGAGGAGTTGAAAGACCAGAAAGTGCGGTGCGCTGCTTGGGTTACAAAGCACTTTCTCTGAATGCAGCGAATCTGATTTTTGTTTTGTCTTGGAGGCCGAGAAGGTAAATATGTAAGGAATGGATGGAAGGCCGTTTCAAGAAGTGAAATGTAATTGACGGCCGAGTAGAAATCGACGGCCGATCGAGCGAATTAAGATAAGTATGTAGGTAAAGGCACGTAGGACTTGCGTGTTCCGGATTGTCTATGTATAAGGTGGTACTGGTAGGTTCGTTCGGAGTTCTTCTGCAGGGACGGTCCAATCAAGCCGATCAGAGCCTTCTCCCGTCGCACCGCAACGATGATCCCGCAACGATGATCAGTCTGCATCGATAATTGGAGCTGACAATGCGACATAGTGAAGAGTTTCGGGACGGGACTGCCACGAACAGGATCGTCTTGACTCTTGTCGAGGCAGTGGCCGGCTCGGCCAGTCGCAGAAGAGGCACCCGACCGGCTGCACCAGAACCGGTTAGGGATTGGACCCGGTCACCGAGGCAATACTCGACCCGGTCGGCCGGATCTCAACCCTAGAGCCGGTCGAAAGAGTGTATGTATGATCAGTCCGGTGAATCCGATTGAGAGAGGCGTGCTGGCCAGATCGGCTTGCTGTTTGTAAAGCTGAGTTGTTTTTTATTTGTAGACTCGAAAGTGGAAATTCAAATCGCTTTATGTATCACCAAACCCATCTCGGGTATGTATGTACCCCGTTATAAAAGATGATCCCGAGGTTGGAAAGTTGTCCTACTCAAGCTTATCCGACGTTATAAATAAATATGTCCTCATCCATCTCCATGTACAGCCGTTCCCAAAAAGCTTGCGGTTTGGGAGCGGCTGTATTTCCGAAGATTTTCTTTTTGCGCCTCGGTTTTTTTAGCTTTCAGTCGCTTGTAGATGGCTCCAATAAGCTTGAAGCTGCTGCTCAACTCGATCCAAGCTTGTACCACCCAAGTGGTTATTGGAAGTGGGCGCTCGTGGGTAATTAGGTGAGGTGATGAACTGTGTGCTGCTGCTCTCCCTCATGGGTGGTTGTAAGGAAATGACAAGGGGTGCAAGACTGGTGCAGTACTCTCTACCAACTGCCAGTTTGGATGTCTTCTTTCCCCGTCAACTCTCGCTGTTGTTTCTTGTCTGGTTCCGGAGAATGTTGATGATATGGGCAGTCGGATCGGGTTACCGTTCGAGCGATGTCCTACTTCCAATCGATGATTCGATCTTCGGGCCCCGCCAACCAAGAGCTTCGTTGATGAAGTGTCCTGACGAGTCCTCCTGAATATCCTTCTCCAGCCATGAAAAGCTTCTTCAACTTCAATCCACAGTCTTTCGAGTGGCCAGATCGGATCTAATATGTATTCTCCAAGTCTGATGATATCAAACCTTTAGATCTCTCAGTCAGTCAGTCAGACTTGACTTGACTCCTTTCGTTCGTCGTGTACCCAACTGGGTGATTACATAAACCAGCTGCTGCTTGCTGCTTGTTTTTCTTTTTTTTTCTTTTTTTTTGGATGGATTCATTAATTAAAAAGAGCTTTCATCATCATCAAATCATCCATCTTCCTCCTGCCAACCACTCATCTCGTTGACTCCTCCTGGGTTGCCTAGCACTTTCAGAGCCTCCTCTTCAAAAACCCCTGCCCCACACCATAAGACTGCTTTAACTCCCACCCAAACCCTAACCAAAAGCTTCACCACTTCAATCAACCATCTCCCATCACTATTTGCCCCTACCCATCTCACCAAGCCCCCAGCTCATCCATCACAAACATGTCCTCCCAGTCCTCCACTCAAAACTTGGCTCCGATCATGCCCTTCATCGAACCAATCGAGCCAATCGAGCTACCGTCCGTGTTCGACTTGCAAGCTTCGACCACCAACCAAGGCTCCGGCTCTGCTGCGACCGACCCCCCCTCGAACATCGACCAGTCTCAGAAGGTTTGTCTAATAATATTTGCTCTTCGTTTCGGCCTCTGCACCTCATCTCCTTACCTCCAACTTGCTTCTTGTCCATCCTCCCCTAGAATCCTACCGCCTGGAAAGGCAAAGCCAACGCCACCAACATCAATCCATCTGACCAGGTGACTGATTCTCTCCATCATCATTATCATCATCATCGGCCATGTCCACCTTTCTGACTTCCATGCTTTGCTATGTTGGTCGATTCTAGTACGCTCAGGCTGCAGACAAACATCGCAGAGCAGCTTCTCAAGAAGAAGCTGTGATCGAAAAGTGAGCACTTTTCCTGCGCCCTCAACCCAACCTGGTCCCATTCACAACCCTACTGACTCGGCATGATCTCTCTCGATTCAGAACACGCATGGAGCTGGAGGAGAAGATAAGCGAACTCAACCAGCTGAAAAATCAAGTTGAGCCCCACTGATCTTCCATCATCCTGGACCACTGATCTCAATTGATCCTTCAAGCGAAATCCACTGACGTTCAAACTCAAACCCACCCTCTACATTTGACTCTATCTCAAGCTTGCTCAAACCGAACAACGCGAACGTGAATTGGCCTCCAGAATCGTCACCTGACCATCAGTACACTCATCTGCATCCCTCCTCCTCGCACTCTTCAATACAATCAATCAAAATCGACCACTCACTCACTCAACCACACTTCAATTGATAAGGTACAAAACAGAAATGATTATCTATACTTGTCGCTCTGCATCTTCGCATTCTTGTACTTCTCTCGCTCTCTCTCTCGTAGATTCTGTTCAAGTTCCTTGGACGACCTCAGATAATCTATCTCTGTTTCCACTTTGTTCGTTTAGGTTGCTCTTTTTTCTGTCTGCATTGTCCACTTGCTTTCTCATGTCTTTTTTTTTGTATTCTTTAAGATACACTCCCTTATGTGAATCTTACATTCTCGCCCTTCCAGGTTAATATTCTGTTTTGTCTCTTTTTGTTTTGTTTTTCTTCTGATTCTGCAATCTCTATCCCCCCCCCCCAAAAAAAAAAACGTTCACTTGTTGTTTGTATCTGCCCTGTTTTATATGCCATGATTAATCCTTTGACAGACGAGTTAATTTCCTTGTCCAAAAATACACTTGCTCAGGTACGATGATCTGTAATCAGGTATTGTGTTTTGAAGAATGCATGGACAATTCAAGAACTTCCAAGTCTTTAGGTTATGTGGTTGCAGTGCACAGCACAGGTTTAATCTGGTGGTTTGTGATCATTGACTTTATTTCACAAGGGAGAGAGAAGAAAAAAATAAGAAAACAATCTGAACTCAAAATTGTGGAATGCCATGATTTTGGAACAGCAAACTTGGAAATCGGTCCAAGCTTTCTTCAAAACACAATATATGTATGATCACAAGTACTACTCTAGTTGAACTGAGTGAAGAGGGTAAAAGAAGTGCTTGGGTTCTCATGATGATTTGTGGTCCCAGTGCAGCTCATGAAAAGTAAAAAAAAAAAAAACAAGTTCTTAAAACTTTTTATGCTCTTCAAACTGCTCACAACATGGGCAATGCCAAATTATGGACAACATCTACTAATCTTTTGCTGTTCCCTATGACTCATAGTCCATAGTATGAGACTCAATGTTATGCACCAAGGAGATCTTCATTTGCTACATACTGGTACCGTGCCCACCTAAGGAAGCCAGAAATTTACATCCTTATATGTACCTGGAAAGTCTCATAAGAAGCTCCTGACGGTATCATGTCAGGTAATATGCTGTGTGTATGTCTTGTCTCTGAAAGACACCAAGCCATGGGATCAGTTGTGGTTTGTCAAACTATGCTTCCAAGTTTCTTGTTTAGCTCAGTTAACTCATTTGTTTCACCGGTTCATATATTATCACCAGTCACTCCATTTCAACCTTATTTACCAATTTACCTCCTCAGCTCTGACTATGTAGCCGGGACCAGGAAATGGGGTCAATTCAGGTATGTATGTATGTATGGTGTAGATCCTTGCTTACAATGGACTTCAACCAGCACCAACGATTTGTATTTGTTGGGCTTGGGCAACCTCTGGAGTCTGTTTCCAAGTGGCTCTCTACTCTAGTAATCCAGCGGATTCTATCGTCTGTTACTTCACCCCCAATCCTGCCAAGATATTGCTCTGTTGGGGCTGTTCAGAATACAGCTTTGAATTCAAAATTTGCTCATTCCACTGCTATGTTGGTTCATAGGAACCTATAACCATCTTCTTCAGAAGTGTGAATCCTTGCCATACTAGATTTCACAGAACCATTCTTGTAGCTTACATAATCACCCCAACACTCAAGACTACTTATACTAGACTGAAAAACCATTGCTCTTAGTTGGGTAGAGAACACTAACCGCTTACCTCTATTGAACTAGCTGGTGAGCTATTTCCTGATTTTCTTTCTTCATATCTTTTGTATTCATTTCAGTTGTTTCCTTCTACATTTTCTTCTCTTCATCTCTCTTTTTATGATTTCTAAAATCCTGTACGGAGAGAGAACACCAACCCTTACCTCTATTGAGCTAGATCCTTTGAAATAAATATCTCTCAGGTTCTAGAAATTTTCTTCTCTCCAGGCTAGTTGGCTTAACTTGTACCTGAATTATTCTGATTTGAAGTGAAGAGCCAACAGCACTCTGACAAGAAGAAACTTACTTTAGAGCTGGCTCACACCTTGGTTTTGTCCAAGACTACTGGGCAAGTATTCCAGAAGACAGTCATGGCTTGAAACGGCCACACAGTCCAGAGAACTGCAATTCACTCCAAGATGTTCCTCAAACCACTGACCCCCATGAAAGATAATAAGGACATGGGCCATGAGTTTTATCCTTCAAAATGACCAAAGCGACACTAGCAAGCATAAGGGTTTATATGCTGGAAAATCTTTCCAAGATCATGGTGGAGAAGATGGATCATCATAATCTCAAAGTTTTACATCATCACCTCTCATGGGAACAACTACAACCAGCCAATTGAGGTGGATCAGTACTAATCTTCAGAAGCCATCAAGACTAGTTGATCAATGCATCTTTCCTGTTCCCTTGGATTTACACAACGATTATGATAAGAAATTTCTTGAAGAATTTGAATTACCAAGTTTTGATGTTAGCCCTTTGAAAGATGTGTTTCCTTGGTCAGATTCAGAACACATGACTTCAAATCCAACAACCTGCAAAATTATCTCAGGTAAAACTGCATCTGGAAGTGAAGAGAAAGTAGTTGTTGATTGTCCTTATGGTGATTTGGGGTCCAACTGGAGCAAAAAAGAGAAGCTTTGGAAACACTAACCTTGTCAGACCAACTCTTGATTGGGTCCCATCCATCATCAACCCAACAGTGGCTCATGCTACTTATTACATGGTCAAAGAATTCAAATCATTTCTCCCTGAGAATCCAGCAGGAATTGAATTGAAGAAAATGCAATGCTCTCATAATATCTTGACTCTGTTTGTGTAAAAATTTGTAAGGTCTGGATATGAAACTAGAAGGAAATTCTAGTACTATTCCTGTCCTAATAATTTTTTGTTAGTAATTTTTTATTAAATTTTAAAGTTTAAAGTGTATTTAAACTTACAAAAAGAAGGGATTGTTGGTTAAACAATCAAAGAAATTATAACCTCACAATATTACTTGTTAAGAGGCCTAGAGTTGAGTTTTAATCAATACTCTGAATTCCAAAGGAGGAATTGAGGAAGGGTGAATTGTTTGTTAGACAATAGATCACAAGGAGTTCGTCCAAAAAGGTCTTTTGGATGAGTTGAGGATTCCTGGGCAATTTCTAGAGCAATACTTCTGCAACAGAAAGTAAGAAAATGGCCAATTTTAAAGGAATAAGGAGCTGGGATCTTTTAAGGGCAAAGGCTACAGGTTAAGGCTGAAGGTAGCAGTAAAAGAGGAGCTCTGTTTCGTGGTTGGAATGCTAAGGTTGATAAAAGAAATGGTTGGAAATGCTGGCTTCAAGTATATAGTAGTATATATGGTGAAGTGGGTGAATTTCTGAGGTTTAAGCACTCAATAAAGGAGTCCTTATATAGCCACACACCTGAAGGTGGCTTGCAGTGCATTTTTGCACGATGACACTGATGCTTTGGGTTTGTTTGGCTGGGTGTAAGCCATGCCCAAGGCCTTGGTTATCAGTATCCCAAAGGCTGAAACAGTTGTAACTGTAACCACGGGTACAGCTACCCAGTCAGGAAGTAATGATGCAATGCCAAGTTATTGCTAGGGTTCTATATGCCCAAAGGAGACTTTTTGTTTCGTCTCCAATCCATTTTGGAGGGATTTGGTTGAGGTGTTCTGATATGTACTGGCTCAGAACAGGTTGAACTACTTGGGCCAGATTGAAATGGGCCAATTCTCAACCCTGTTGATTTCAAACTGGACCAGGGTTGTTCTGGTGGATGGCTGATGTAAGAGGATATTCTGAGTTTGCTCAGAAAGGTTATTAAGGTTAGGGATAAACAAAACAGGTTACATGACCAAGTGGCTGGTCAGGGTTCAGAATATGTGGTCTAAACTGGTCACTTGGTTATAGTTGATGAGCTACAAGGTTGTACATGTTGCACAAGCCTTGGAACCTTGTTTATCTTGAGTTCGCATCCAATGAACTTTGTTTATGTCATCAGCTGATTTGGTTCTGTAACTTTAAATGTCTGTAACTCTTTAGTTATTGATTATTTTACAGAATTCTTTGTTTTTTGAGTATGTAGTTACACAGTGGTATGTAACTACATGAATTTTGTTTTTATTTTCTAAGTAAAGTAAAAAAGTTTATTTTTATTTTTAAAGGCCTTTGTGGTCATTTGCAGGCTTTTGACCATATATACTTTTATATATAGATTTTTATGCTTAATATTAATTTATTATTTATAATATTTTTTCTTGGGCTAGTCTTGAGACTTGACTATGAGTTGTGATTGTTATTTTTATTATTTTATATTTTGAGGCCTATGGGTATGTATATACCTCAAGGCTGACATTCACTACCACCAAAAAACGAAAAAAGGATAATATCATTTTTTATCTGATGTTCTTTTGTCATGTCTGAACCTGCGTAGGAGTTTATCCCCTTCTGGGATTTCTTTCTCTGGGAGCCATTCATCTTCTTTTTTAGAGTCTTTGTAGCGGACAAGGTAAAATTTATCTTTCTGTCCCCTGACTCTCTTCTCCTTGATAACTTTGGCTATGCTTCCCTGATCTTGTTTCTCCATAGGTGGTGATATAATTTCAGTTTCAGTTCTAAGGGGGAATAGAGCTTTATCTGTCTCTTTATAGGGTTTAATGAGGCTAACTGGAAAGGTAGGGTGTTTCCTGTCAAATTCCTTGGTTAGTACTACTTCAACTGCATTTTTGCCATGTAGTGCTCTAATCATAAATGGTCCAGCAAAGGCATCTTTTAGTTTGCGTGGTCCTTTGATGTTATTGAAGTTGATAGTTGATACTAGTACCATGTCACCAATTTTAAAGTTGGGTTCTTTGTGAGATTTGTCCCACCTTTGTTTATTATATTCATGAGAATCATTCATACATCTAGTAGCATGTTTGCGTGCATTGTCAAGCATGGTTTTAAAGCTTGATGCAGTAGGATGGATATCTATGAGGTCTTTCCTAAGGCTATCTTGTGGCAATCTTGGGTTCCAGCCTTTTTCTAGCATGGATGGTGTTTTGTTGGTTGAACTGTGGACTGAGGTGCGGTAAGCTAGTTCTAAGGCCGGTAATAGTGTGACCCAGTCATGTGTAAAACCATCTGCATCTTTGAATTCTAGTCCATATGCACAAAATCTGCGGACCATATCTTCAAGTGGTTGGATCATACGCTCAGCTAGTCCATCTGTTTGTGGATGGTAGGCAGTGGAAAAAGATAATTTGGTGCCAAATAAGGAGTATAAGTTGCGCCAAAGTTCTGAAGTGAATTTTGGGTCTCTATCACTGATAATTACTTTGAAGAGTCCTGTCCACGAAACAACTCTGTTCCATATCATTAATGCTGTGTCCATGGACGTGTCATCTTTGTGGCATGGGAGGAATATAGGTGTTTTACTAAACCTGTCAACTATAACAAGACAAGCGTTGTAATTATTCTGTCCTCCTGGAGGTAGTCCTGTTACCCAGTCCATGTTGACCACTTCCCAGGGCATGGATGGTTCTTCAATCTTCATCATTAGTCCAAATTTTTTACCAGTTGATCTGTTGGCTTTTTGGCATCTATCACATGTGGAACAATATTTCGCGACATCATCCTTCCAATTAAGCCACCAGGCACAGGTTTTGACTTTTTCCATGGTCCTATCTTCAGATAGATGACCGGAAAATGCACTGTCGTGGCATTCGTGGAGCATAATGCTAATTTGTTCTCTGTCTGTTAAGACCATAACACAAGAATGCTTGGTCCTGTGGTAAAGTATTCCATCAAATAGATGAAAACGTCCTTCTTGGTAACGTTTCTTCCATTCATCTTCGAGGCTATTAGAGAGATCTTTGTCTTTAAAATCTTTTCCTAGAAGTTGAAGGATTATCCAGCAGTTTTTGTCTTGTTTGTAACTGTCTCTGATATTGTTGAAGAATTCTTCGTTGAGGTCTGTTACATTGATACCCATGATTGGGAGGCTAGATGGTAAGTTCTCTTGGTCATAGGCAGGATTATCTACATTGTTTGGTAATGGCCATCTACTTAGTCCATCTGCGTTTTTGTGTAAATTGCCTTCTTTATGGATAATGGTCATATTTCCTCTGTATTCTTGGATTGCAATTTGCCAGCGTAGCATATGCCTGTTAGGTGTTTTCATGTTTAATAGTGATTTAAGTGCTGTGCAGTCTGTGATGACTTGGAAAACACTTCCATCAAGGTAGTAGTGGAGTTTTTCCAGAGCCCAAACAAGACACAAACATTCAAGTTGACTGGCGCCATATCTTCCTTCTGTATCTTTGAGCTGTCTAGATATGTAGCATACTGGTCCTTCATAAGGTTATCGTCAATAATTTGGACTTGGTGTAATGCTGCGCCAAGTCCTTCCATTGAGGCGTCAACGTATAATTTGAATGGTTTGTCGAACTGAGGCATAAGCAGTAGTGGTGCTGATGTAAGAGCAGTTCTCATATCTGTATATGCTTGTACTCTCTCAGTTGTCATTTCGAAGGCTGCGTCTTTGCTGGTAATGACGTATAGGGGTTTGGCAATCACGGAGAAATTTTTGATATGTTGTCTGTAGTAACTTGCAAAGCCTAAGAAACTTTGCATTTCTTTCCTAGTCTGCAGTATAGGTTTAAGCATTACAGCTGCTACTTTGTTTTGGTCAATGGCTAGTGTAAGTCCTGATACAATGTGTCCCAGTGCTTTCAGCTCGTGGAAGCCAAAGTTACATTTCTTGAGTGATATTTTCATGTTAACTTCTACAACCTTCTGAAGAATTATTTGTAGTCTCTCCAGGTGTTGCTCCCAGTTATTGGAGAAAACAATAATATCGTCTATGTAGATGATGAGCCACTGCTCAGATAATTCTTTAACGAAAATTGTGTTCATCATTCTTTGGTAATGTGATGGAGCATTTTTGATTCCAAATGGCATCCTCATGTATTCGTATACACCGCAATGTGCTATGATTCTAAGGAATTTTCTGGACCTTGGTGTGACTACATTTTGGTGGAAACCCTTCAATGCGTCCATGCTAGTGATGTATTTGGCCTGTGATAAGCTGGTGAGTGTCTCATGGATGCGTGGGATAGGATACCTGTCCGGTATGGTGTATGTATTAAGGGCTCTGAAGTCTCCCACCATCCTTGATTTGTCATTATGCCAGGCTATAATCACTGGTGTGGTTATTTCTACCTCTTCATTGTGACCAATTTTCCGGAGAACACCCAAGTCAATGAGTTCTTTAATATGTTTTTCCAAAGCTTCTCTGGCTCTAGGACTGGCTGGGTAGGCTGGTCTTCTGAGAAGTGGAGGGTATGGTTTTTCAATATTCAAAGTAATTTCAACTTCATGTCCCTTAATTGCACCTAATGGTTCTTTGTCCGTGGCAAAGGCATTTTTATTATTAAATAGCACTTGGATGAGACATGCACGTTGGTTTTCATTGAGTTTTTCACTGATCTTGCAGTCTTTAAGTTGGTCATTCTCAAATTGGGAAATTTCTGGGTCTATTCTTCTAGTAACTGAATTGATGGACCTAGAGGCAAGAAATTGGAATTTTTTCCGTTGGTTATCATGACCAATTGTGAAGAATCTTTCTTTGCTGTTGTGGATGTCAAATCCATAAAGATTGAGATAGTCTGTTCCTAGGATGAAATAATCATTTCTTCCATCTTCAAGAATTATAAATTCTACTTTGATTCTGACTGATCCTGATGGATGTGGTAGGAGAAGGCTTATTTCAATTATCCCTAATGATTTCATTTGGCTGTTGCAGCTGTGGAGTGATAGTCCTGCTAGTGGCATGAGGCTGTCTTTCCAATTAGGCAAGAATTGTTCTAAATATTTTTTGGACACTACTGAGCAAAAAGCTCCTTGATCTAGTAGCATTCTGCCTTCTTGTTTTTCACATATGACTAGGGTGACAGAGCTTGTGCCTGCTGTGTAGCCTTTTCCTTTTTCTGGTTTGGTTTTCACTAGTTTGGCATCCGTAACATGTGTAATGTCTCTGCTGTTATGTGATATCTGTGGTAAGTGGGAAACTTGTTCTTCCTCAGATAAGTCATAGTCTGCCTCAATAGCGCCTATTTCAGCATCTGCGGACTCATAATCGCTCCGCATCATCTGGTAAAGATTCATCATCTT